TATACAAAGTGGATTTAGAAAGTCCAGATCTACATTAGACAACATAGTGGATATTGAATCCGTAATTCATGAGTCATTTGGATGTGGTCAAGTATGTCTGGCTGTATTTTTTGATATAACGCGTGCATATGATACAATTTGGAGATCAGATATCATAAAAATTCTGTCAAGTTGGTCGATTAAAGGAAATATTATCAAATTTATTAATAATTTTTTATATAGGCGAAACTTCAAAGTTCGAATAGACAACTTCCTTTCAGACTCCAAAATCCAATTAAATGGTATTCCTCAAGGGTCTACTCTTAGTGTTGTACTTTTCCTTATTGCCATCAATGACATCGCTAAGTCACTTAGCCCATTAGTCAAACCCCGTCTATTTGCTGATGATCTTGTTATATTCTGTCGTGGTAAAAATATATCAACAATGACGACCCATATACAGCAAGCCATTTACAAATTAGAGAACTGGTCTAATACTACTGGCCTAGAATTTTCACCCACTAAAACGAAAGCAATGATTTTCAGTAAAACTCCAAAGAAATACATAAATCCACCGAAACTCTACCTAAAAAATTTACCAATAAAGTATTCAGAATCGATTAACTTCTTGGGAGTAAAACTGGATAACCGACTATCTTGGCAAGACCACATCCACTCCCTCCGTCTGTCAGTTCAAATCGGCCCTAACTTAATGAAAAGTATCTCTCATAAACAATGGGGTGCCGATTTCCAAACTCTTATACTATATACAAAACCCTAATCCGTTCAAAACTAGATTATGCTGCTGTTGCCTACAACTCAGCCAAAGGTTCACTATTAAAAGTGCTAGATACGGTTCATAATTCAGCAATTAGAATTGCACTGGGAGCACACTACACAAGCTCAGTTGAAGGTATGTATGTTGAATCAGGCGAACCATCCCTTCAACTTAGGAGAGAATACCTTAGCCTCATGTATGCCTCTAGAGTATCAACTAACCCACAGCTACCTGTTTATAAAAACACATTTACAGATAGATTTCTATCGACATTTAATAGGGGAAAAAGATTGGATCCTCCGTTTTATCATCGAGTTAGAGCAACGCTACAAAGCTTAGACACAATAATTCCACCCACTTACAATATTTTTAAAGTCAGTCAAAGCATGCTACCATGGACAATTGTTCTCCCTGATTGTAATACAAACCTATCTGCATTCAAGAAATGTGTCACACCAGCAAAAATCTTCAATCAGAAATTATTAGAGATATTAAATTATTTTAATAATCACATTCATATTTATACCGATGCATCCAGATCTGCAAATGGAGTAGGAGCGGCTTTCACAACAGATAACTATAACAGTTCCTACCAGCTCCCTCCCCAAACTTCCATATTTTCAGCTGAACTCTTTGCTATCCTCCAGTCATTAAAATTTGTTAACACACATGACATTAAATTCTCAATAATCATTAGCGACTCCCTAAGTGCATTAACAGCCTTAAAGCAAATATACCCCAAACATCCTGTCCTGCTTTTAATTAAGTCGGAACTCTTGATATGCCAACAAAATCAAAGATTAGTTCAGTTCCTCTGGGTACCTTCACATTGCGAGATAACTGGAAACGATAAAGCTGACATATTAGCAAAAAATGCGAGTGAACAACCATTAACAGACATCATAACTACTTGCGTTCATACTGATCTAAAGCAATATTTTAAGAACAAGATCATGACAAAATGGCAAACAAATTGGAATAAATCAAACTCTACATTAAGAAAAATCAAACAAAATGTATTGCCGTCGAAACATCCTACTAAGAGAAGAGACCAAGTGCTCATGTCCAGATTACGACTTGGTCATACGAAGATCACCCATGACTTTATATTAAAGAAGGAAGCCCCTCCAATGTGTTATGTGTGTGATAGTGAACTAACAGTGCAACATATAATAATAGACTGTCCCCTCTACGTTATAGAACGACAACATCAACAGTTACCAACTACATTTAAAGATTGTTTAAGTGAAAATAATTCATCTAAGACTCTCAATTTTTTACGTACTATAGGACTCATTAACCAAATTTAATATAAGCTTTGTAATTTGATATCAATACTGTTCATTGCTAATAACCCTTTTGTGGTTGAAGCAAATTGTAAATAAAAAAAAAAAAATTTTTTTGGTTTTTCTTGTAATTTCCATTTGTTTCTAGATTTTTATTATATTATAGCAGTTGTCCAATAACTAATTTTGAGTATCCTGCAACTAAATAAACTGTCCGATAAGTATAGTTTTTGTAACTATTTTTAATAAATATACGGTGACAAAAAAGGTCTAACACTTTCTTTAAATTCTATTAGGGAAATAAACTGTTAAGACTACGGTTTGTATAAATTTAAATTAAAGCTGCAGAGAGCAATGTGAATTACGAATTATTTTTTATTTAAACATACAAAACCCACATCAACCACCAAGGGTTATTAGTGGAGGGACATACAAAGTAGTACAGTTTGATAAATTAAAGTTTATTATAAATGTTTATGTCTTTTGGAAACTGCAAACAAGATCAGAATTGCCATGTTAATAGCCAACGTTCGCACGGCACTTGAAGAAGAAGAAGAAGAAACTGCAATAAATCCGAGATATTTGTCGTAAGCGCACTTCTCAGGTTTCCACTAATTCCTCGGAATGTTTTTTGAGGTTGGAAATGAAATTTCCAACCTCAAAAAAAAATTTTTTTTTAAATTTTATTAATGTTAATAGCCAACGTTCGCACGGCACTTGAAGAAGAAGAAGAAGAAACTGCAATAAATCCGAGATATTTGTCGTAAGCGCACTTCTCAGGTTTCCACTAATTCCTCGGTATGTTCTCTGAGGTTGGAACTGCGAACAGTCGACTATCAGATGGTTCACGATGAGTTAAGTAGAGCAGTAGGTACAAATTGGAGCTGGTGCTTTATTTAGAAGGTGTTGGTGTGTTAGTATTGTGTGGCCGATTCAAAGACGATTTACGATTACTTGATCTCTTCTTTTTCCTTGTTGTGGTAGGCTGGCGTCTACTCGAGGCTTTATTGTTTTCAACTTAGATTCTGTTGCATCCCAGGTTGCTTGCCATAAATTTATTATATGACTCATGGACTGTCGTTTATGGTCGGTATGGTGATATTTAGTAATTTCTGGGACATTTTCATTTTTGATGGATTTTACTGCCAATTGATCAACTTCCTCGTTGCCTTTAATGCCAATGTGTGAAGGTATCCAGATAAATGTAACCTTTTTATTTATATGGTGTAGTGCATTAAGTTCATTTCTATATTTTATGCAATAGGATGGCTAGGGTAAAGTTGATTAAGTCCATGAATTGCGCTGAGTGAATCTGTGATGATTAAAATATTATTTTCAGTCGTTGAAGACGAGTTTTTGATAGCTTCTAATATCGCTGTGGTTTCCCCGGTGTAAATGCTGCAGTGCTGTGAAATTCTAATGGCATATTTCTAATTTTTATTTGTGAAGGCTGCAGCATGGCTATTTTCAGTTTTTGATGCATCTGTGTATATTATGTGGTGATTTGGATACTTCTTCATAATTTCTTTGAATGCATTAATGGTGAGGTTAGGATTTGTGGTATTTTTTGGGTACTGTGTTAAAGTTAAATTGGTGATAGGTAAGGGGGTAAGCCATGGAGGGAAGTTTGTGGTTAATTTTGTGGTTATGGATAATTTGAATTCATTGCAATTGAATCCTTTTTGATTGATTCTTTCCCTAAAGGGTTTGTCTTTATATTGTTTGTTACTATACAAATTGGATGTAGGTGCGTTAATAATCTTAGAATTTAATGGGTGCTTTTTATTGGAAGATATTCTTGCTGAATAATTTAAACTAAATAGATGTCGTCTTAGATGTAGAGGGGGTTCTCTTGATATTACTTGTAAGCTGCTTACAGGACTGGTTCTGAAGGCACCGACGGCTAATCTTAGAGCTGTTGTTTGAATTGTGTTAAGGTTTTTTATTGCACAGCATATTGCACAGTAGTGTAGTTTACTGCGAATAATTGATTTGTAGAGGTTAAGCAGAATACTAGAATCAGCTTCCCATATACTATTGGATAGAATTTTCAGCAAGTTAATTAGATTTTAACAAGTTAGTTGTAAAGTCGTAATGTGTGTTTTCCAGTTTAATTGTTAATCAAACGTTAGGCCCAAAAAATTCGATTCCTCTGAATAAGGTATATTTTGACCGTTAAATATTAACGAAACAGGAATAGTATTCTTGCGTTTGCTGAAAACACTGTAATGTGTCTTATTAGTTGAAAAGAGGAAGTCTGTTTTAAAAGACCATTCTTCGATTTTGTATAGAAGGTTCTGTAGTATTTTTGCCCCAGATGTAATATTTTTGCATTTAATATACACAACTAAATCCTCAGCGTATAAGTTTGCTTTTATAGGAGGCTTAATTGTATTTATTACATCGTTAAATGCAATTAAAAATAAAGTTGGGCTTAAAATAGAACCTTGTGGGACACCGTTATCGAGTATTCTAGTGGTAGAGATGTATCCATTTACTCTTACTTGTATTTCCTACGAATTTTTTAAGTTGAAATTTTCTTAATATCCCTTTTGAGATTAATAGCTGCTAAAACTTGATGATATATTGTTTTGGAAATAAATATACTTTTTCAGACTTATGTCCATGAAAAGGTATATTCTGTAAATGTTTAAGATATATGTGATTGGTAAGTTCTTCTAGTTACATAGTTATAATCTTAAGTCTTATCTTTTTCCTAAAAAGTATTCCAGTAGTCGTCAAGTTTATTGCAAAGAGAACTAAGATTGGAAACAATCGTTCGATATGTGTTATGGTAATTATAGGTTTAGGAATCTTAGTTTGAAATTTAAGATATTTGTAAGTTCTTTTTACTACTTCAATAAATAAAAATACATAAATAGATTTTTAAAATGCTCGTTTATTAAATTTAATCATTAGCCAAGGTAAGTACATCATGTAAGTGATACTATTATTATCTAGTAATGGTAATAGTAGTACGGCGATGGACAAGGATCTTCGATACATCCAGTAGAAGCAAGATGTTGATAGTATGCTGCTGATGATCTGGCTGTACGTGTCTTCTGAGGACAGTCGAACTCCACATCGTATAAACCATATTTGAGGCTGAAATATAAAAAATTAAATTATTAAACACTATACATCATACCTTACGAGATTCCGAAACAATAAACAAAATTGTTCATATAATCTATGTTTAAAATATGCAAACAATAATTATAATTTATTCTTACGTGTATCCTGCTAGTCTTCCATCAATTAGGTTCCATTCAAATCCATCGATGTAGCTGTAGTAGGTATATCCATATACTCTGGTGTAGTCCTCAATCATTGAGAGTCTGACATTTCTAAGGATAGCCTGAAAATATTGGCATTAGTATGTTAATCAAGTGCATAAAGGACAATATTGTCATAAAAATAAATAATTTACCTTAATATATTCAATTCTATCGCAATCATAACAGTCCCTTGAACATGTGCCATATCCGTCATTAGTAATGAATACAGATGGGTTGTAGTAGTTTCTGCTGATCCATGCAAGAAGTGATCTTATTCCGCAGGTAAGGAACTCCTTAAATAAATTAACAAGTAAATAAATATGAGTTAAAAAGCTAAATATTCTTGATTAAACAAATTTTTCACATTTGTTATAAACTTTACTTACTCCCTCACAGCCAATTAATTGCACTCCTACATCAGATTCATAACAGATGTTGCCCCAGTAATTGTCAGCAGCACATGTAACATAAAAAGCTGATTCGTAGGCAAGGGAGAAGAAGTCATGAGTTCCTTTAATGTATTCGATTTCTGCGTGTGAAAAGACTGGAAGTCTTGCGTTGTAGTAACCGTTGTAGTCGCAATTAAGACGAATTCTTTCAATCATAACTTCTGGGTAGTCTCCAAGATAAATAGGATGGGCAAACCAACCAATCTTAAATAAGTATAATTCAATTAAAATAAAATTACATTATTTGTTAAAATAGCAAATACAATGCAGATATTACGACTTACTTGGAATTGGAGTTTAGTTTCAGCAGCACATACGTCAGTATCACAAGCAGATTGTGGTTCATACCAATCGGAGTTAAGTGTAATTGATATCTTTCCTATAATAATATAAGAATAATTAAGTCTTCTACATTACTTAAGATAAAAAAATCTTACCATTTTGGCATGGTCTATAGTAGTCATCGTATAAATGGTAGGCAGCAGCATGAGCTTTAAGAAGGTTGTGGCCACAAATGTATTCATAATTTCCAGGTCCATCGTTTATACCAGGAGCAAATGTTCCTAGACCGTAGCCATCTTTGCAGATAGTGGTTGGTTTGTGGAAAGTTATCCAATATTTAACATCATCTCCAAAGTGTTCAAAACAAACTCTCGCATATTCAGTGTACCATTCAACGAAAGATGAACAAAGGAATCCTCCTTGATCTTCAAGTGATTGAGGAAGATCGCCATAGTAGAGAACTACGATTGGTTCAATGTGATTAAGTTTGAGTAGCTTAATAAGCGTACGGTAATGTTCAATTCCGTAGGGATTAACATCACCACATCCATCATATATGATTCTAGACCATGAGATTGAAAATACGTAATGCCTAACAGTTAGATTATTCAAGATTTCGATATCTCCCTTAATATGATTGTAGGCGTCAGCAGAAAAATCGCCGTTTGAACCATCAGCGACGATGGATGGACAAGTGTGAAGCCAACGATCCCAAATGTTTTCGCTTTTACAATCTTGATCCCAGGCTCCTTTAAGAATAAAAGTTTATTTAGTAATGAACCATTTTAAATCCTGTATATAAAAGCATTATTAAATTATTAGTTCATATAATATAATAAAAAAGCTATACAGTAGTTTTACCTTCAATATGGTAGGCACCGCTAGCTACTCCAAATGAAAATTCTTTTGGAAAGACTTCGCAGTTTTCAGCTGGTGGGGGTATAGCAGGAACTGAGCCAGCGGGATAGGGGTAATCACAACCATCCCAGTAGTCGGGCCAGCAGTCTGGCCAGTAATCGTGCCAATTGTCAGGCCATTCACATGGATAGTCATTGGGATATCCATGGGGTACAGGCCAACCGTGTGGGAAATTATTAGGCCAGTCATGTGGAAAACCGTGTGGGAAATCATGAGGATGGTCAGGAATAAAATCACGAGGAAAATCACAGGGCCAATCGTCTGGCCAACCATTTGGGAAATGTCTGGGCCATTCGTTGGGCCAACCATGTGGAAAACCATGAGGCAAGTCATGTGGAGAACCGTGTGGATATGGAAGTACATCACATGTTTCAACTGGTAGAGAAGGATGATAATGTGGAGATGGTAGATTATGTGCTAGTGGTAAGGGACGTGGAGATGGAAATGGTCCGTGGGGATATCCAGGTAATGGGAGATCACAATCATTCCAGTAATTAGGCCAGCAATCAGGCCAGAAGTCCCTCCAGTTTTCAGGCCAATCACAAGGCCAAGCATTGGGATATCCATGTGGTAAATTATTTGGGCGCCAACCATGTGGGAAGCTATTAGGCCAGTCGTGTGGTAATCCATGTGGAAAATCATGAGGCCAATCATGTGGTAAACCAAGTGGAAAATCACAAGGCCAATCGTCTGGCCAGCCACCTGGGAAATAACGGGGCCATTCATTTGGCCAGGCATCTAGCCAGTCTGGTAGACCATCACATAATTCAGGAACTGGAAGAGGATGATAAGGTGGGCGATGTGGTGAGGGTGGTGATGGATGGTGAATTACTACTGGTGGTACATCACAGGGCTCTGGCAATGGAAGTGGATGTGGGGACGGTAGATTATGTGCTAGTGGTAAGGGACGTGGAGATGGAAATGGTCCGTGGGGATATCCAGGTAATGGGAGATCACAATCATTCCAGTAATTAGGCCAGCAATCAGGCCAGTAGTCCCTCCAGTTTTCAGGCCAATCACAGGGCCAAGCATTGGGATATCCATGTGGTAAATTATTTGGGCGCCAACCATGTGGGAAGCTATTAGGCCAATCGTGTGGTAATCCATGTGGAAAATCATGAGGCCAGTCATGTGGCAAATCAAGTGGAAAATCACAAGGCCAATCATTTGGCCAGCCACCTGGGAAATAACGAGGCCACTCATTTGGCCAGGCATCTAGCCAGTCTGGTAGACCATCACATAATTCAGGAACTGGAAGAGGATGATAAGGTGGGCGATGTGGTGAGGGTGGTGATGGATGGTGAATTACTACTGGTGGTACATCACAGGGCTCTGGCAATGGAAGTGGATGAGGAGCTGGGCCATGAGGATATCCAGGATACGGATAGTCACAATCATCATATTCCCAGATTGGTCCTCCGTGAGGATGTGGAACTACTACTGGAGGAACATCGCATGGTTCCGGCAAAGGAAGGGGATGCACAGGTGGTCGATGTGGTGGTATTACTACTGGGGGAACATCGCATGGTTCCGGCAAAGGAAGGGGATGAAGAGGTGGTAGATGTGGTGGTAGTGGAGAATGGGGTGCGGGGCCATGGGGATACCCAGGATAGGGATAGTCACAATCATCATAATCCCAGATTGGTCCTCCATGAGGATGTGGAATTACGACTGGAGGTAATTCGCAGGAATCAACTGGCAGAGGATGTAGAGGTGGGTGATGTGGGGCTGGTACGGGTATTGGATGCGGTATTACAGGAATCTCACATGATGGTTCAGGTATTGGATGGGGGTAGTGTGGTGGATATGGATCACAATCATCGATCGGTACATAAGGATGATGAACAGGATATCCATGTTGTGGATCTCCATAACTGAAAAACAAAAATATATTAATAATTAGAAAAACGAAATAATTAAAATAAATTAATAAACACTTTAATTGAGTGTAACAAGATTAGAATAAACAAAAATAGTTCATTATATACCATTTATCAATTTTATTTTGCAATATACGTGCGAATATAGTAATCAGCAATGAAAGAGTGGATTGGGTATGAGAAATTATTTTTTACAATACAAATACATACTGTTGTTAAAACTCCACTATCAAAGAAAATACTTTTTTTAATAGTTTTGTAAGATTTATTTCTTATAAATAATATTCTGTTCCTAAAGGGAAAGAAGAAGTGCTAGAAATTTGGAATGTTTATTATAACCTGTTTTTAATAAAAGTGATTAGTAAGAAATGCAGTATACGTTTCTTAATTTGGGTATGACTTTTGGTAAAGTGAAACACGACAAACTTTTACGACAAAGTTACCCAAAAGAATCTAGATTTTTTTTTTTTTTTTTTTTTTATTTATTTATGCCTCAACCTCATAGGGTCATTGGCGTTGTACAATTTAGAGTTTTACAGTTTAGTTAGTACATTTATGGAATGTAAGTATGATGTCAAATTTTTCATATCAGTTCTGTCACTTAATATTGCCTGTAAGGTATCTTGTAATTTATATTGAAGTCTCTCCATGCGATATAAAGGACACTCCAGTAAAATATGGCGAACACTGAGCACAATATCACATATGTTGCACTTTGGTTTTAATTCACTCTCTAGCAGATGTTTATGGGTGATGGCGGTGTGGCCTATTCTCAGACGAGATAGGATGGTTTGATGTTTACGCTTATTTGGGGTTGATTTCCAAGGTAATATGGAATGTTTTACTTCTCGTAGTTTGGATGTTGATTGATTCCACTTGGTCTGCCAATCATTGATTATTAAGTTCTTGATTACAGGTTTTATATCTAGATGTGGAATGCTTCTGATTTCTACAGCTTCCGGACTCGAGATTGCTAGTTTTGCCAAGGAATCTACTTCTTCGTTACCCGCAATTCCAATATGGGAAGGAATCCACACAAAGTTGACATTTATGTTCATAGTTTGCAGTTGGCTTAATGCTGATTTAATAAGTAGTAGACTTGGATGACTAGGATATAAGTTATTTAGGGCAATTACAGAACTTAGGGAATCCGTAATAATGACAGGGTTTTTGATACTATTTTCTACCACAAAATTTATTGCATTGAGAATAGCAGTTAATTCAGCTGTGTAAATGGATGTTAATTTAGGGAGTTTCATTAATATTTTTGTTTTATTAGACATAAATGCTGCTCCCACTCCATCTATAGTTTTAGAGGCATCGGTATATATAAGTGTATGGTTACTGTATGTCTTGAATTCTTGGAGGACATATTGATATAATGCTTTGGGATGGTTATCTGCTTTTTTATATATGGAGAGTTTGGTATTGATAGATGGGATGGGAACAGTCCAAGGGGGGACAGTGTTAATATCGGGTATACAATAGATATCTTGAAATTTGAATTCAAGTTCATTGAGGTATCTATTTACCCTTTCATAAAAAGGAAGGTCAAGCCTAGCATGAGTTTTAAAGATATTCCTAAAACGGTCTGAATTTACATAGTGATTAACAGGATTCATAGGATTTGCCTGTATTGATGCCGCATATGTTAGTGAAAGTTGTTTTCTTCGGAATTCCAGGGGGGACTTCTCCAGCTTCACAGTGTAAACTTTCAGTAGGGCTAGTATAAAAAGCACCTAGTATAGTTCGCAAAGCACTATTTGGTATTCGATCGAGTTGTTTTATGATATATGGTTTTGCTGAATCATAAATAATACAAGCGTAGTCGAGTTTGGACCTGATCAATGACTTGTACATAAGGGTCAGTGTTTTACTATCTGCTCCCCACGTGTTGTGTGCAACAGTTTTTATAATGTTAAGTGCAGATTGACAAGTACTTTTTAGATCATGAATGTGGTGGTTCCAGGATAATCTGTTGTCAAATGTCATGCCTAGACATTTAATTTTCTCAACATATTTTATTTCTTTATTAAATAGTTTTAATTCTGGAGTGATATAACTTCTTTTTTTTGAAAATAGCATAGCCTTTGATTTTGTTGTTGATAATTGAAGACCTGTAGAATTTGTCCATAATTCGAGATTCCATAGCACTTTCTGTAGATGGGTCTGAAGGGTTTTATCATTTATTCCCTTAACAAAAATGATTAAGTCATCTGCAAAGAGTCTAGCTTTTACTGGTAAGTCACAAGTGGAGATAATATTATTTATTGCAATAAGAAATAGGGAGACGCTTAAATTAGATCCTTGAGGAATTCCGTTTTTTTGAATTTTTGTATTAGATAAAGTACCGTTAACTCGTACATTAAAAGTTCGATGAGATAGGAAATTTTTTATGAATTGTGCTATATTACCTTTTATTCCCCATCGACTAAGTGTTTGAACAATACCATGTCGCCAAACTGTATCGTATGCTCTTGTTATGTCAAAAAATATTGCGATACATTTTTGTCCACATGCCATTGCTTCATGAATCTCAGACTCTAAACTAATAAGATTATCCAGTGTTGAACGACTTTTTCGGAATCCGCTTTGTTCCGGGGCAAGTAATTTATTATTTTCTAAAAACCACATTAATCTGTTGGATATGATTTTCTCGAGAACTTTACACATTACACAAGTTAGAGAAATAGGTCTATATGAATGTGACAGAGATTTTGGTTGATTTTGTTTATAAATAGGGATGACAATAGATGAACTCCAGATTTTTGGAAACTTGCTATATCTCCATATATTATTATAGATATTCAGCAAGTGTTTCTTTGCAGATGAAGGAAGTTTTTGAAGAAATATTGCAGGAATGTTATCAGGACCGGGAGAAGAGTTTTTTGTATTATTGAGTGAGTATTCTAATTCATCCATGGTTATGGGATAATTTAAAGGAGAAAGGTCATCAGGCGGTATATCAATACCTTTGGATTCCTCTTTCTCTTTTTTGGTCAAAAAATCTGGAGGAAGAACATTATCACTTGAGAATCTTTCAAAACTATTAGCTAGAATATTAGCTATGTCTAGAGGGGAAGTGTATATTTTTTGTTTTTCTTCTAAGAAGTTAATGTGGTTTGGGGTATTTTTCCCGGATATCTTTCGTACCATTTGCCATACTTTATTAATTGGTGTAGATGAATTTAATTCTGAAACAAACTTTTTCCATGATTCACGTTTACTTCTTTTAATTATAAATCTAGCTCGTGCTTTTAGTCGTTTGAATTCTAATTTATTTTCAAGTGTATTATATTTCCTGAATCGATTTAATGCTGTTTTTGAAAGTTTAATAGCTTCTTGACATTCAGAGTTCCACCAAGGGACTGACGAATTTAATTGTTTAGGATTCATTTTACCAACGGCTTTTTCGGCAGCATTCAATAATACATTGGAAAACTCTTGAATTTGACTATCAATATTATTATTTGATTGTAAAATTTCATGTAATGCATTCATTTCATTTAAAACTAGATTATAATACTCCTGCCAATTTGCATTTTTGATATTCCATTTTTCAACATTACAAGAGTATTGTATACTGTCAGGATTTGTTATTACAATCGGAAAATGGTCACTATCATTTAAATCAGAAAGTACATCCCAAGATAAGGTAGCTGATAATGCTGGATCACATATTGAAAGGTCTATGGCAGAGGATTTACCAGTAGAAATGTCAAAATGAGTATTTCTTCCATCGTTTAGTAGGTTTAACTGAAAATTGTCCAACATTATTTCGATTCTACGACCTAATGGAGTAATTATTTTTGATCCCCATATGTAATTATGTGCATTAAAATCTCCAACTATTAGACGAGGTGAAGGTATTTGTTTAATCAAGTCTGAGATTTCATTATTGCTTGGGTTTTGTGTAGGTGGAATGTATATATTACATATGTTCATTTTTACAGGCCCTTTGATAGTAATTGCGACCGCTTCAAGTTGTGTATTGATTTGAAGAATGTCTACATCGATGGATGAATGAGTGTAAATTGCTACGCCACCACTAGCATGGTCTACATTTTCTCTATTTTTATATGTGCATGTGTAGTGTTTTAAATTATGAACTTTAGTATTTTTAAAATGAGTTTCCTGTAAACAAAGTATGGATGGAGTAAGTTTTTTAATCATTTGTTGTAATATCTCAAGGCGAGTGTAATATCCTCGTAGGTTCCACTGGATAATTGAGAAAGCCATTATAATATATCTTTTACAATTTCGTTATCGGATTCGGTGTTAGTTTCTGATTGTATGGATTTAAGTATTTTGTTTCGAAGTCTAGTGCATCTATTTTTTGATTTCCTATTTGATAAATTCTCATGTAGTTGATTTAAAAGTTTCAATAGGTTTTCTAGATCATTTGTATACGTTTTTATTAAGCTTACTGGGTCAGGAGTACCATGAGCATTTTCCAGTATATCTACTAATGTTTCATAAGATATTGAATGGTTTACTGAAGTATCTTCATATATTCGTCTAGCTGAATTTTTTATATCGTCAGTTACTTTAATGGTTCCTATGTTTGTGATTGAAGACTTTGGCTTTTTTAATTTAGGGTCTGGAAAGGGGTTATTTACTGGAGTATTATTTGGTGGAGGGGTTATAATTTCAGAGCGATTTCGTTTGTTTGAGGGAGGATCGTGGGACATTTGTTGAAAATCAGTGCTTTCTTTAACATGAGTAGATGGTAAAATATGGATATCCGGTTTAGTCGATAGTATAGGAGCCGAGGAAGATATGTTTTGCGTTAGGGGAATGTATTCATTGTCTATTGGATCAGTTGAAGTAGTTGGAGCAGCATTTTGTGCTTGAGATGTTTGAGTTTCTTTAGTAGTTGGGCAATTTCCAGCCGAATGTCCCGCTTGCCTACAATTAGTACATAGATCCTTCTCCATTACAAGAAATATACGATATGATGTCATTTCGTAATTCACAATTATTGAGTCGGGTATTGATGAGACTGGGGGAGAAATAAAAGTATGCCTTCTGAAACTGAAAATGTGTTTGTAATTAGGATTTGATGTACCAATTTTTAAAAAATTTATTGGAGTTACCAAAGTTAATCCCAAATTAGAAAGTGCATTTTCAATAATTGAATGTGGGATTGAAGGACAAACATTTGATATCAATAATCTTTCATTTGGTGACATTAATTTACGAGCCTGAATTTTTTGATGGTTTACAGTTATTATCCCTTTGTTAATTTGTAGAAAATTGTTAACTAAAGTTTCGCTTGTTAGATAAATGCAAATTCGACCATTTGACATTCTAGAGGAGAAGAGAATATTTTTTGGATGCATTAAATCACCAACTGCAAATAGATAGTCTTCCAACTTTGTATTTTCCAACGCAGGAAAAACTATTGCTTGTGTTTTGGATGGAAATTTAGGTACATTTTGATTTGTGACAGTTGCAAAAGATTGTTTCATATTTGTATTTGATGAACTTTGCTCCAGTTCTTGTTCAGGGGCCCCAAGAGGCGGAAAATTATCCATTTTTAATTATTATCATCGATAATTCTCAAAAACCCAGTCCGGTCCTGTCCCCTCGATATCAGAACTGATAAACGGTAGCAGTAAAAAGTTGTTGCTTTATAACCAAAATTGATTCTTGTTTACGTGGATTTAACTTAAATGTTAATTATTTAGATTAAATAAATATTTGTACTCACAGATTTTATACTTGTGGTGAGAAAAATCACTTAGATTCACTTTTTAAGTAAAACTGTAATTAGTTTGATGCTTTTTAACACCTAAAAACTGGATTTATGTGGAGCTTGTTTTAAACCTCGTTTGACTTCAGAGGTCGATCGATCCAGTGGTCAATCTAGATTTTGATTTAGATGAAGATGGAAATAAAGCTAATAAAAGTAAGTTGTTGAAATAAACAGCTAAAATCAGAATTATTAACAATCTTAAAAAAATACCTGGTAATAGAGGAGTAGGGCAGAAACCTCACAATGACACAAATACCACCGAAATAAGTAGAAGATGTATGTAGATCTCTAAAAAATAACGAAGCACTGGGTCCATGTCACATCCCTGCAGAGTTAATTAAACACGGTACAACCAAACTATATACAAGTTTAACCACACTGTTTCAAAACTGTATTAATGGAATGACAACACCAGAGGAGTGGAAGACTTCTTCTTCTTCTTCTTAGCCTTCTGTGGTCCATGTTTGGACATAGGCCTCTCCCAACTCCTTCCATCGGTCTCTATCCTGAGCAACATATTTTCAATTTGTTCCGGCTATTCTTTTAATGTCATTAACCCATCTCATCTGTGGTCTTCCTCTTGGTCGTTTACTTTTGTAAGGTCTCCAATGTTGTATTGTAGTATTCCAACGTTGGTCTTTCTGTCTAGCAGTGTAATCCGCGAAGCTTTATTTAAGTTTTGCAATTTTTATTGTTATGTCCTCGACTTTTGTTTTGGATCTTACCCAGTCGTTCCTCTTTTTATCTGACAGTCGTATACCTAACATTGCTCTTTCCATTGTTCTTTCTGTTGTGGCTAGTTTATTTATATTTGCCTTGGTTTAGGTCCAGGTTTGACATCCATATGTCTTGATAGGAAGGATGCATTGGTTGAACACTTTGCTCCTCAAATATTGAGGTATTTTGCGGTTATTGGGAATGATAAATGGATGGAACAAGTAAACAACAAAGTACCCGGGTTACTGGATAAACAACCAACTGAATCTACATCTCGATATTAAATGCAAAATTATACAAACAGGAGATGCATCCATACAAATAAAAGAATTACTATACGACCCAAGATGAAATAATTTGAGATGTTGGCTTTAGGAGAATACCCTTTTACAATGATGACCATAGATAACATATAACAAATAGGCATATTCTTTACATAAAAAATAGGTAAAGACATAGATCTACTCTAACCATCAGAATGTGCAAAACATCATATCTAGGACACCTATTAAGGAATCACATATATTTCCTATCTCAACTTAGGGGAATAATAAGAGGAAATAAAGGAAAACGTGGAGTCGGAGAGAAAATACTCTCTTGGATCCGAAATATACGACAGTGGATGAGGATAATTATTAAGAAACTAAAAACAGCAGAGCATAAAGAAAAATTTAGAATTAATAAAGGAAGGTGGAGACTCCCTATTAAATGCGATACACGAACTAATAGTGAACATATGGAATAATAAACAACTGCCACAAGACTGAAATATACCGAAGTAATTATCCCAATAAATAAAAAGGGAGATCAGCTTCAATGCAAAAACTACCGGGCAATAACGCTACTAATTGTGGCAAATAAAATACTGTCAAATATTGTGTATGAGCGATTGAGACCATATGCGGAACAAATAGTTGGTGGATATCAATGTGGTTTCCGCAGACACAAGTCCACAATAGATCAGATCTTGGTATTGAGGCAAATCTTGGAAAAGACTAGTGAATTTAATATAGACACACATTATCTTTTCATTGACTTTGAGAGTGCCTATGATAGCATCCATCGAGAGTTTCTGATCCATGCACTGAAAGAGTTTAATATTCCAACTCAACTTATTGATATAGTAAAAGAAACATTTAAAGTACAAAGCAAAATTTGAATTAAAAACGAACTAATAGATACAATCCATGTGAAAACGATCCTACGACAGGGATATGCCCTATCCTGTACTCTTTTCATCATCACATTAGAGAAAATAATTAGGGAGTCAAAAGTCAACATTAGAGGAACAAGAATAACAAAATGTGTACAAATATTGGCATTTACAGATGATGTTGATATCATAGCTAGAAGCGAAAAAGAGATGATAGAAGCATTTAATGCGATAGAAAGAGCGGCCTAAAACAGTGGCCTAAACATTAACGAAATAAATGTATAAGGAAAAAAATATAATATAATAAAAGAATATAAAGGAAAGTTAATTGAGCAACTAAAAAAAATTCCAAGGATACAGTTTTAAAAAGCAAAGAGACCATAAAGAAAACATACAGGAAAAACTAGAATACAAGCTTTTAAATCACTTTTTTAGTAATATTTTTTAGTGATACTAGAATAGCCTAAAGAAAACACAGCAATATTCAATAATTACAGTTTTCCAGAACGCTGGAGTCAAGATTTTTATTTCTACAAAATCAATGCACTAAATATTCAACTTTATTTCATTTAATTTATATCCAAATTAAAAGTAAATCTATATTTAAGATATCTTTAGCCTTACCTAAGTTGTAGAGCAAGCAACGTTGCAAGAATATGCAACGCCTGAACCATTTTGACTGTGTTAGCGAGACTAACTTGCCCACAATGCTGGTTGATGCTGCTAGTCTTCCTTTTAAACAAATTTTCTAAACGATTATTACAAAAATTCGTGCTAAAACTTTTTTTATGTCACGTAGCACTTTGATAAACTTTTATCAAAATAACCAGTTACAAATGTTAAATCACAAAATTTTATTTCCTTTATCAATTAAATCTGATACAACTTTTTTTTGGTTTATTACACTTTTATGCCTTTTAGTGGTTTAAAATAGTAAAATAATTATTTAAACTATGAATAACTTCATTAAATAATACTACAAATAATAATAAGTTTACTACAAAACAATTGAGACGTCGTTTGCAAAAACCTTAAAAAAATACACGTTTTACAATACTAATAAAATTATTCATTTCTTTGGTTTTTTACGAAGGTTTTGTTGACATATTTTGACATTTTAGATTTTTTATGATTTTCATCATCATCATCATTCTGGCTTTACAACTCTGCGTGGGTGCCATGCAAGAATTTCTCTCCAGTGTTCCCAGTTCATGGCCTTCCTCTGCCAAGCAGGTATTTCAATATTTCTCATGCCTTTATATGTGTTATTATATAAGAAACCTTGTTCGGGGTCTTTTTCTTCATCTCTGACCAATGGATCTAAAGGAACGTTTTTTTAGCTGAGTCATTTTTTTTTCATGTCCATTACCTGCCCTATCCACCTCAGACGTATTATCTTAATATATTTTACGATATCTGGTTTCTGATATATTCTATAAAATTCGAAGCTCTATCGTCTCTTCAGACTCCATTGTCTTTTACTGCTCCATAGATTTGCCTTTAGTACTTTTTTCGATGTAACGTTATACTAATACATAATACTAATAGTCTAGGCGGGATCTGTTTTGGATTGGAAATTTTCGAGGGAAGCTATTTTTTTGCTGGAATCCCTTCAGGATATGCCCAGTATCGATAATCACGATATGCGCCAGTCGCAAACCCTGTGCTAAATTTTTTATTTAACAAAATCTGAAAACAATTGAAAATTTCTCATTATTTTGCTCCTATTTTCATTTATAATTCGAAAAATATTGATCTTAGAGAAAAAATTATAAGTGGTTAAAAGTTTCGTTATTAAATTTTACACAATATTTTGTTAGCTAGAAATTGAAAATTTAATGGTTATTGTTGAAAAAATAGCAATAATTGGACAAAAAGTACAAAAAAATGAAGTTAATCCTTTAAATGTTTTCGACTTTCTAAACTTGAGTTACAAGTTCCATATTCCGCCTAGAAAAACTTTTTAATATGTTTAAAACGTGTGCTAAATTTTTTTAAGATCGGTCGGAGAGGTTTTGCATAATAATTTTGCAATCCAGCCTACTGGAAAAAAATCGCAAATTTTCAAATTCATAGTAGGCCCTAAATAAGGCCCTCAGATAGCTGCAATTTTTTCACATATAAAGGAAGTCTCACACTTTCAAACGCTTTTTGTAAAATTCAAATCGGTTTACTAGGAAAGCCTAGAAATATTTATACTATCGTCAATAATTCAGATAAAACAATTACCAAGGATACCCAGGTACCTGGGTATAGACACAAAGGTTAATTTAAAGAGCTTCATTAATCTTTCTAAACGAGTACTCTTGTAGATTTGGACTGATGCTGTTTTGAAAGTATAAAACGAAACGTTTCCGCTAATATATGGAATAGTAACATCTAGCTTTGTTTCTTTCTCCTCTTAGTCCGACTGAAACCTTCAAGAGTTACAGTTTGAAAGGTTTTCAACCGTTTCCATTGTTTTATCAATAATCAACTGCATTGTATTTTACGAGACTGTTTTTAAAATAGTTACATTTTCTATAAAACCCATAATACACCACACTTATACATAATTTAAATACAGACTCATTCTTGAAATATAGAAGTAAATTTGATACACTGTAAGGTATAAAAAAGCAGACAGAGTTAAGCTCCGATCTTAGTTAGAAAATTGTGTCTGCAATGGGCTTACGTTACAAAATTTATTAGAATACAGGTATTTCGTCTGAATAAATTAAATGTTTGAGCCGTAAAGTAATTTCAAATAACACTTTTTATTGTATTTTGTTTTAAGGTGGTAGTATTTAAGAAAAAACGTTTTGAAAATGAGACTGAAAATGATTACACAGGACCTTACATGATATATTAAAACAATACAAAATTTATTGATCAGATAAATGTATACTAGCTTAATAATAAATTAAATACAGATAAACTAATTAGTATATATATTAGTATATATACTATAATATAATAAACGTCCGTACCAGAAGAGGGGCAAATGCGGATTCTGATCACTACCTGGTCGAAAGTAGGATAAGGGCTAGAATTTCAAACATCAAAAAGGAAAGAGGCTCTAAACATGAACAATACAATATAGAAAGACTCAAAGAAACAAACAAAAATAGAGAGTACAAAGAAAATATAAGCATCAAACTAGAAAACAGACTAAAACATGAAAACCTAAATGAGGAGTTTGAAGAGTGCAGAGAAATCATAAAAGAAACAGCTAAAGAGGTGTTGGGCATGGAAGGTAAAGAAAGAAGAACAAGAGCGAATCACTGGTTTGACGAAGAATGTCAAACTATAAGAGAATGAAAAAACAGAGCATATCTACAGATGCAACAGAGGCACAGAACCCGACAAGCAGAGGAAGAATATAAACACATACGTAAAGAAGAAAAGAAAATTCACCGAAGAAAGAAGAGAGAATATATCAACAAAGAACTACAAGAACTAAGTAAACTAACAGAGACTAGAAAATTTTACCAGAAACTCAACAAAAGCAGAAAAGAGTCCAAACCGAGAACAACGATGTGTAAAGATAAGGAGGGTAATATATTGACAGAACAGCAAGAGATACTTAGAAGATGGACAGAACATTTTAAGGAAAATCTTGGGGTGAATAGGACGGAGATGAACCCTGATATACCGTTAGACCAAGCAGACAACAAAGAACAGAGTCCACCAACAATAGCAGAGATTAGAACAGCAGTGGACAAATTAAAGAACAATAAATCACCGGGATCGGATCAAATATCATCGGAGCTACTGAAAGAAGGAGGAGACGCATTACTTAAAGCCATACATGAGCTGATAAGAATGATATGGTTAAATAAACAGCTACCAAAGGAGTGGAATAGCGGCATTATTGTACCACTACATAAAAAAGGAAACGTAATGTATGAAAGACTTAGACCATAAGCTGAAAAAATACTTGGCAAATACCAATGTGGCCTCTGTAGACAGAAGTCAACAATAGACCAGATATTTGTTCTGCGATCCTTGAAAAAACAAGTGAATATAACATCGACACACATCATCTCTTCATAGACTTCGAAAGCGCATATGACAATATAAACCGACAATTCCTTACAAAAGCAATGAAAGAATTCAATATACCAACACAGCTAATAGAATTGATAAAAGAAACACTAAAAGTAGAAAGTAAAATCCGGATACAAAACGAATTAACGGAAACAATAGATGTGAAGAAGGGACTACGCCAGGGAGACGCTCTATCATGCATATTATTCAACATCGTACTTGAAAAAATAATAAGAGACACAACAGTTAATACCCGAGGAACAATAATTAATAAAAGCGTGCAAGTACTAGCATTTGCAGATGATGTTGACATAATCGCAAGATCAAGAAGAGAAATGATAGAGGCATTTACTCAAATAGAACGAGCTGCAAAAAATAGTGGTCTTAAAATCAATCAGACAAAAACAAAATATATGCCTGCAAATAAAAACGCACAAATAAGGCAGCTGCCAAATTTAACAGTAGGAGAATACAACATTGAGGCGGTAAAAAACTTTACATACTTAGGATCCCTAGTTACGTCTGATAACAACGTTGCAGAGGAAGTGAAGAGGAGAATATTTATTGCCAATAAATGTTACCATGGCTTAATTAGGCAACTAAGATCAGATAACGTCTCCAGAAAAACAAAATGCCAAATATAAAAAACCTTAATAAGACCGGTACTCACATACGGTTCAGAACCCTGGACACTCTCTAAAAGGGAGGAAACGTTATTAGCCACCTTTGAAAGAAAAATCTTGCGACACATATATAAGGGCACAAAAGAAAACGGGATTTGGCGGAGAAGGTATAACTTTGAACTATACAACATATACCAGGATCCGGATATCATAACATTCATTAAAATAGGAAGGCTACGTTGGATTGGACATGTGGAAAGAATGGAAGAAGGCGAAATACCAAACAAAATATTCAAACAAGTGCCAGTAGGAAAAAGAATAAAAGGAAGACCGAAGCTGAGATACGTAGAACAAATAGAAAATGATATAACAACATTCAAAATTAAAAACTGAAACAAAAGGCACGACACAGGTCAGACTGGAGAAGAATCCTTGAACAGGCCAAGACCCAAAAAGGGTTGTCGAGCCAGTGATGATGATGAAACCAATTAGTTGATAAAAAAACACGACTAGTAATTTTTAAAATAATTTTGTTTCTTCATCAAATTATCTTATTGCAGGCCATTCAGGTTCCGACTTGATGTCCCACTTAGTAGTACTACTAGTTGTATATTCGTCTCCACTCACGCTCCGACTTGCTATCCAACTAGCGGTCCAACTTCAGTTCTAGTTTGTTTTCACGATAGTCATTAGGCTGCATTCCGAGGATAGAAGTATATCTAAAGAATCGGTGCCTGTTCTGACTGACCTATTTTTGCCACACAGCTTAATTCATTGTAGTGCACCCAATTAGGCACATATACTTCGTTTGCTCCGGTACCAGTTGTCTGTATCTGTAGATATCGATAAATTCGGAAATTTCCCCACTGTTCATTACGAGAGGCGTGAAGTAGATACGAAAGTTGGCGTTATGAGTTAATAATCATCCGATATGTATGTTTAAAAATTAGGTTTCGTTTCTCTAGGTATTTGTCTGAACTAATTAATTTTTTCGACTCTTAATTTTTATGACTTATTAAGAT